TGTGGCATTTATTATTTGTAAAGTAAGTAGCTGATCTCATAAACTAAAGTGTGATAATACTTAAATGAACGCATAGATGTTTTGTTATTGTAACGCCCCGAATTCTAATAACCTGAAACGTTTCGAAACATAAATATATCAGAGGGCTTGAAATAAATAGTTTTAATATAACAAAAAATTCTGTAAAAAAAAATAATTTGAATAACGTTTAATCAAAAGATAAATTTAAAATATGCGGAATGTTTGAAAACATATCATTCATCAAACATTATTAGAACAATTAGAACTAATTGAAATTTTTAAAGTACTCACAATTGAGTCAAAAAAAAAACCCACTATTATTAAAATTCTAGTGTTTCTGAAAGTTAAAGTACTTCATGAACGATGAGTCGTTGGTCCAATAGCAAATCCATTCACCGCCGTCCAGTATACTAATTCTTACCTGAAAATTGTAAATAAAGGGGATGAATATAATGAATTATACTCAATGAGATAATTGCTACTCCATATTCAAGTCAAATATGAAATTACGAATAAATTCTCTTATCAATATACAATGAGAATTATCATACCATGACAAATGATAATTCTAGCAAGCGCTGCAAAATAACGTGAAGGCTAAATTGTGCCTTAAAATATATCATGATTTCTCCCCTAGGAGCCTGAATATAAGTAATTAAATTCATACATAATAACACATTTGAAAAGATGTGGAAAAACCACTAATAGCACTGAGCATCTCACCTTTTGAAGATGAAAGTGGAGGACAAAATTGCAAAAAACGTGATTGCAATTCCAAAGCCTTAAAAAAAATCTTAATAATATGGAGGAATATTTTAAAGAGGGAGAGATAATGGACGACTGAAGCGTACTGCAGAATGAGGAATTAATTGTAAAACGCTTTAGGTCTTATGTCATATATATAGTAGAACAAAAGTGGTGTGGTGTGATCACTTTAGAACAAATCACAAAAATTTCGGTTAATTACCCCAAAAATTTCGTCCAAAGTTTCCCAGAATTTGGTCCAATTCCCTAATTGATATAAACTAATTAGGAGATTCCTTATTAGATTTTTGGCAAGAGACACAATGATTGCATAATTCTATGGACACGTGAAAAAAAGTGTATAAATTGCATGCATAATTCCTATCAATTAAAAAGTTCAAATTCCACGTGATATGCTCCTCTTATAAATTCTCAAAAAACTAAGTATTTAATTGATATTAAATTACAACTAATTGACAACTCACCAAAATCAAGGCAAAGACGTAAAACCTACCATTTTCTTTCTCCAAAATCAAAGCAAACTAATATTAAAATAAAGCCTACCTTACCTACCATGCCTACAAAGATACACAATTACAAGATAAAAAAAAAAAAAAAATTTGGCAACAACACGATTTCATTCGAAGACTTTAATTAAATTGAAAACTAATTTTCTTTTTCTTCCATCAACTTCTTTAAACGATAATTTCTTGGCCCCGACTTATCCAAAACAAATTTTTCTCGAGTCTAATATATATGATTAATTACGAGCTATCTAGTGAGCCTAATATTAATACAGTAATTTAGTCCGAATTGGCAACTAATCTTATTAACTAAGTAGTTTTTCTTAATTGGCTATAACTCGAGTTTAACTTATTCAAATTAAATTCTTCCCGAGTCCATAATTCGCCATTTATTATGAGCTTCAAAATGAACCCAATATTGGTAGGGTAATCTAACTTCTTCAATAGTTAACTATTTGGCCCATTTAATAAAGTATAAAAGAATTCGATATTTATTTTCACTTCGGTCCCTCAACTAATAAGATGTCCATATAGATCTAAAACAACTATAGAGATAATCAATTAACTTGCATAAGGACTTAACCAAACATTGCATTCCTATTAAATGGTAAATAAAATATATACGAATTAATTAAAAAAATTCGGGATTCTACAGTTATAGAACAAAACATTGGAGACACGTTGAGAGATTCAACATGGATAACTATCTGAGCACCAGTGGTTAATCTCTAACGTTAGGTAGTAAAATTGGTCATTTGACTTGAGGTCATCATGGTGCCTTATATGAGGACAGTTATACTTTGGTGGTGTTGGATGTTGCTTTGCCAAGGGCCGCTAATATTACATTGTTCGAGTATATCAAGAATTGTATGAAAGTTGTGAATGACCAAAAGAGGATTTGTCACTCTTAAATAGTAAGAGATTATGATCTACATTTCATTCAATTAAGTCGATAACGAAATCTTTGGCCAAGGTATATTCAGAAGTCGAAAATGAGTTTTCGATTTATATTTACTTAATAGTGGAATGAACGTTATGATCAATAATCAGGATTAACATACTTCCATGTCTCGTAATTGATTAGATCATATTGACGAATAGATTATAACTTCACAGTAAACGAACGAGATTGATTTTGTCATACCATGTGACATTTCTCATCACATGTATTGCCTTGACACATTGTTAAATGTTAATCTGCGACGGTGAATGTGGATCTGTGATAAACTAAAAGGATGTTTTGATTTATCAATTTAGATTAGATCAAAATAATATTTCACGTCGTTAGACATCGTAATTGGGAACCTAATGAGCCACAAACAAAAGGAGAACTAGAAGATTGAGATTTATCGATCAATTAATTTAACAAGCGTTGACTAAATTAATTACGTAGATTAATTAATTCATGGACCGAATTAAATTAAATGAGTTAATTGAATATTGGACTGGGTCAGGAGATGGGTTAAGCCTGTTTGGGCTTATATATAAATAAGTGGCTAGGGTTTGGAATTAGAGAGACTTCTTCATTCTTCTCGTTAGTACAAGAAAAGTAAACACTGGTTCTCTTTCAATCTTGTTCCATATGTGGATTTTCATTAGAGGCTGGACAATTGAACAATTGTGGGTGACAGATCAAGATTATTGGAACAAAAGAACAGCAAATGAATTTGCAGAATTAAAGAAATGTACAATATCTATCTAAACACAAAGAGATTCTTGGTGGGAATCAAAACTTATTTTATTTTCCGCTGTGCATTATTAAGTAGATTCCCAATACAACGTCCAACAAGACACTTTTCCATTTCTCGAGAGATAAAAGAAAAATTAAAATTTAGTGACAAACTTGGGAAAAAAAATTGTTTCGTGGCAAAAAATAAAAATAAAATGAAACATTGATATAAAGTAGGCAACGAACTATGTTTTAAACCCTAATTTTCCAACATTTAATATTATTATCATCAATGTTTAATTAAATAAAATCCCAATTGTCCAAGTCGATCACGATTATTAACTAAAATTAGCAATCTTCATCGAGTACTTCAAACTTGTAAACCACCAAATACTTGTGTACCAACACTCTCCATTCGTGCCCCATAGCTTACTTTGCATCGCCATGCATGTGGCTCGAGTATGTTTAACTTGGACAAAACTCATTAGGAGCATTTCTAAACACGTCAATCACACCTACCATATCTCCAATATAATTTAAAAAGTAGGAAAAAGTGTTAAACATTTGTTTTCCCATTTTGTCCACACATTTTTTAGTTTATGATCAAAATCCCCTTAGCATTTAATTTATTTCCAGCAAATAATTGCAATCAATATTTTAAATAAAACATAATGATGGAAATAAAGATAAAACCCATTGCTTATTACAGCTCAAAGAGGTCTGAGAGAAATCCATATCATGGATGAAAAGTGCAAATAAGAAGTGATAAACTCATCCTCAGAAGAAAATCCAGAATGAATAACATTCACACTCTATAACAACCGAGGGACAAAGCAAGAATAACAACACAACAATAAAACAAGATAATTGAAAAAACAATGCTAATCATAGAAGGAGGAGGATGGTATAATCATGCAAAGGTTGGACGTAAACTAAGTAACTTTGTTGCCTGCTAGCGTAGGTTCTCAAGTTCAATAGCTACATGTTCTTCATTGGATTGTTGGGTTTCACTTCCAATACTTGAAATTGAGGCCAGGGAATTCCCATTATCTTCCTCAATAAAAGTACGCCACTCATCAATATAAGTTGCTTTACCAGGATCCAAGTTTGGTATCTCTCGCTACTGAAGAATTTGAAGAATTTCTTTTGTTTTACCAAAAAGGAGAGCAGCTTGACGAACACTCTTTTGCCTTTCCTTTAGGGAATTATGGTGGCATTTTGTAATTATACCATGTGGTAAATTGGTAAGGGAAGCTGCCAATATATCCGCAATCATAATGGATAAATGGTCAAATAGTCCCTCATCGGTTTCATTATTACCACTAGCCACCAAAATAGTTCGACTAATCCGGTACATTGAGTTAGTAGCTATAATCTTAGCTGGCCAATTCAGAGGTTTATCCATTAGGAAATTGTTTTCTCCTCTGAGGAACCTCTTAACAGTACTTTCAACATCACTGGAAAGCTCTTCTAATGGCACTACAAGAAAAAAGGCCTTTTGCAACATGTAAAAGACAACATTCATTAATTGCACATTGCTAAAAAGGGTCTATTGCAACGTTCAGCAAATGTATGTTGCCATTGGTTGACAAAATTAAGATTTAACGTCTTTTTTTTTTTTTTTTTTTATGAATGTTGCTAAAAAACTATTTTGCAAATGTTCACAGACCGTTGCTGTTATTTTCTTTTTTGCAACGTGCAATGCGTGTTGCTATAGTGTTTTTGAAACAATCAATGAACGTTGCCATTGATAGTTTTAGCAACGTTCAATTAACGTTATCGTTGATCAGTTTTAGCAACGTTTATTGAACGTTGTTATTGATCAGTTTTAGCAACATTCGTTGAATGTTGCCATTAATAAGTTCAGCAACGTTCACATAAACGTTGCCGTTGTTAGTTTTAGCAACGTTCAATGAATGTTGTCGTTGATCAGTTTTAGCAATGTTCATTGAACGTTGCCATTGAACCCGACCCGACCCGGACCCGGTTAGTTTGTTAAAAGACGTAAATTTAGCCTCCAAAGTCTAAAACACAACCACAAACCTAATTTCTTCCCTCACCATCGTCTCTGCCTCTTAGTCGTCTCTCATCACTTCCTCTCTTACAATACTCTTTTTCCCCTTAATGGCAGTGGATGCCGTCGTCTCTGGGAGCCGCCACAAGCATTTCGTGGTAATAAATCTTCAACGCTTTCTCACGCTTTCCCCCCATTCTCTGCTGCATAGCTGCGCTTCACTGCCCTAACTGATACTTGCTTCACTGGAACGGAATTTGCTGTTAGACGCCGTTACACGGTGGCTCACTCGCCTATTTCTCGCCAGTCACCTCCGGTCCGGTTACAAACCCCCCGCTGAACTGCAATCGTCCGACCTACTCCACTTCGTGCACTGTACAGTCTAAAATTTGTCTATTGCTCTCTCGGATTGTTACAAATTAATGTTTATTATATTTACTTGAAATGGCTGATGTTTCTGTTTCACTGGTTGATTTGAGTGAAAAGGACAATTCTCGAAGCGTTATCTGTTGTAATTTGTTTAATTTTTACGCCAAAACTTATCTTTTAAAAATACCATTAATTTTCTGGTTGGTGATTTTTACCCTAAAAAATTTAAGATACTTATAATTTTCCTTTTCACTGCTTGATTTTGAGTTTCAAAGTATGTTTCTGATTTATTGTCTAGTGTAGTCATAATGGCTACCCTGCTCTTTGGATATACATGGATTGTGTTCCTACTTATTGCATCCAAAAGATTGTGATTCTTCCTCTTATCTGGTGTCCATCTGCCAGGTTCAATCCCGTTGCATCCATGCATTGTGTTAGTGTTTAGGATTCCTATAAATGTGAGAAGGCGGGATCTGGGAAAGGGAGAGAAAATTGAGTAGTAAAGAGTGCAGAGAGATTAGCCCTCTCGAATGGCTATGTATATTTGTATGTTTTTGTTGTGTATGTATATATAAAATATCATTATATATGTATATTCTCTGTTAATAAAATTTTATACCACTTTCAAGAGCCAAAATTTGTCACCCAATTTCTTCAAAAAATGAATCTCATTTGTCTGCGAAAAGATTTGTCTTCTAATTATTTTCACCAACTTTCTGGCAAGGCCCTAATGTCCTTTGAAAGGGGTATTAGGCTATTAGCCACGATTATGATTTCATAAAATTCAAGCAACAATAATAAAAATTATAAAATGGTACCTGATTAACTTTTAAACTACTACTATTATTATAAAATAATTCATGTTGCATTATATGAGACATTTAATTATGTAAATCTGGTAGGATACTAAGAAACAAATAAAAAAATATTATATCATATTAAAATGAACTAATATTTTTCTTGAATTTACGTTAATCAATAATTTTGTACTGAGCCTTATTTTAAATTTGGATGTTTTGATAAATGTAGCGATAGATAAGGTTGAGTGCAAACTTGTTGCTAGATGATGGATTAGCCTTCATCAGTCAACATAGCTCAAAATAGAATGGGTCAATGACCTATCAACCATGTGATTTGGAAGGGGAACCTCGCACTGGCACAGAACTGAAAGAGGCTGATTTCGTAAACCTGCTGATTTGTTTTTTTTAGTGCATATTAAACTATTTAATGTATGTTGGTTCATTAACTATTCCGTCTCACTACTGAATCACGACACATGTTTCACTTATTTTGTGCAATACCTAACTATTTCCTTTATGCTTATGGATTAACTATCCATCATTCTATAGAATCACGAATCGTATCTTTGCAGTAATTTAAAAATTTTACTTCATTGAGTTGGGTTTTGGGAGAATGCTAAATGATAACTTACTTTTATGCTTTTTCTCAATAGTTTCTGTCCAGCTTTGTTTATTGGACATGCTGGGGAAAAGTTGGCGGATTGAAATTTTAAAAGCACTAGAAAACAATATTCTGGCGGATCATGTTTGTTATTACACTCCTTGTGTAGAGTCTTCTAACAGCACTAGCCTTTCTTCTCTTTTCTAATTATCTTAATCTTCTATCAATATCATAGGTTCCTCTTATATGTTCCAGTCATCATTATGGATAAGCCATAACTCTTTCATTAATGGACGCATATTCCCTCAGTGTGCAACATGAACAAACTACATTACAAATTCTTCAAGATAAACTGGGAGCAGAGGATCTTTGTAGTCAGGTAATTACAAAATTCTCTCTCATGGTTTACCTTTACTGGTTTACAGTAAATTCTATAACCATCAGGCTACACTTGTACTCTGGTTTTTCTGTTTTGAGCTATGTCTTGTCCATGTGGTGGAAGGAGAAGATAAAGAGTTTTCTTAAGGAAAGTATACCTTTTGATACCTTATTTGATACAAGAAAAGCTAGGGAAAGGGAAAGAATGAGGCTTATATTACTGAAAGATAACAGAGAGTTATTTAACTAGTAACTCTTCTTCATGTCAAAGATATTTATGCTCACTAAAATTTCCGTCAGGCACTTCTATGCCCATTATTATGGGAAGTAGCATCTTCAAATACATAAATGTACTAGCTTTGATTTACAAATAGATGCATATCAATAGGTAATTAATTTTGAAGAATGTTATGAAAGGGTAACTGATATACCATGTAATTGCAGGATGCTGCTGCATGGCTTGAATATTTTGAATCAAAAGCTTTGGAACAGCAAGAAGCAGCACGTAATGGAACTCCAAAACTGGATGCATCCATTGCCAGCGAAGGTCACCTGAGGTATTGATTTAGCAAACGATATGGAGTTCATTAAACGTTATGAATCTCTGCCATAATGTGTATTAAAAGAAGAAGATTTAAAAGAAAAAGATTGCATTACGGCGAAGTATCAAGTATCTTCAAGGTGGGAGGCTCTTTTCTATATGAAAGATGCAGGCCAAGAAGAAAGCAACGCGGAGGATTTTTGAGAGCTAGCCAACCCAACAGTTTGAAAACAGCAAGTTGTAAATTATCTTCTTTTATACAATAATTTTCTTTTGTTTAAGAGGAGTGTAAGATGTTTATTTGATGGGCAATATGCAAATAAAAAATTTTCTTCGATTTATTATAATGATATGTTTTATCTATTTGGTATGGATATAATAAAATTAAATCAGTTTTATGCAAGCCAAAAAATTCTTTTTTATTTTGTGGTTGATTTGGTCAATAGCTATACAAATAGGAAAAAAAAAATATTGTAAATGACCTACGGCAACGTTCTTTGAACATTGCAAATAATCTTTTTGCAACGTTAAAAAAAAAAGAAAATTGTAAATGACCTACGGCAACGTTCTTTGAATGTTGCAAAAAGGTTATTTGCAATGTTCAAAGAATGTTGTTGTATCCTTATTTTGCAACGTTCAACGAACGTTGCCATAAAGGTTTACGGCAACGTTCAATGAATGTTGTCGTATATTTATACTCTACAGCAACATTAAGGTTTGCAGCACACGCCTGAACGTTGCCGTAAGTCTTTCGCAACATTTTTTGCCTGTTGCGAAAACCTGTTTTTGGTGTAGTGTGGTTCGTTGGAGGTTCTGCTTTGGAGACTAATTTTGCGAAGATTCTTATCTTGCCACTTGCAATCTAAATCAACTCCTAGCCATACAACATCTGCTGCTTTTCTAATGATTTCCAAATCCCCATTTTTATCCAGGCTTTTATCTATAAATTTTAACAAGGTTAGGCCTTCTCCGACACACTTGACTAACTGATTGGCACTGTCATCTGAAAAGTTGGAAAGTGCAATTGCGATGAATGTAAGAGTCACCAAAGGTAGACACCAGCTGTTAGGAGGCTCCTGAGAATGTAAACGTGGAACTCGATCGTTGTCAAATTCTACCCCCATTGAAGTTTTTAGATTTATGTAGAAATTCAATTAGGTTGATCGGCTTCTGTCTTTTCCCTTTCTCCGTCATCTTGTCCACCTCATTCCAGAAGTTTTTGAGAGTCTTTTTGGGAATTCCAGGTTCTCCTGGAAGTAGAATAACATAACGAGTAAGGTCCAACTGTGCATCGCCACCAGATTCTGATCCTCCGTTATTATTAGAAGCACCAATAACATATATCTTCAGCTTCTTGATGTGGAGGAAGAATGAGGCGGAAATGAGAAGAACAATTTTGCTTGCCTAATCCATTAGAATCTGTACTCCAAGGTAGCAATTCAGAACTAGTCTTCTTAGGGAATGAAGAAATTTTTTCCACTTGTGGTGTCGAACTTGTAAAGGTAATGAGCTTTCTCTCCAGTCCACAAGTCCTTGAATCCAATAAGTCTCGATTTTCATCTCATTTTTGAAGCTTTTCCTGCTTAAATCTGAACATTTATACCAAGCTGCATTAAACCATCTGAATGCAGGGGCGATAGTACCGAATGCCACTCCAATTGACAGAACATATATGAAAGTTCAGGGAACGTTCTACAACCACTTGGAAATTCACGAAGAACGTTATGTTACGTCAAATTCAAGTTTTAAATATTGCCAAGTTTATGTTCCAAACAATTTATTATTCGACCTCACTGTGGAATTGATTAATCAAAGCAACACATCACTATAATTAATTATCTAGGTGATTAAACATACAGTCCAGTTAATTCCTATGCTGAACTGTCGGTTTGCGTAAAGTAAATAATATAATAAAAAACACAACTCACGATATGATGACGGAGAAACCCCAACGTGGGTAAAACTCCGGGACCAAGCCAGTAAGTTCCACTATACCAATTCAGTCAGTACAAGTTCTGTCAAACTCCGTACCCAGTCAGACCCGCTGTTCTAGTCTCACGATCTACTGCCGTAGACCTATTAGTCTCTTGCTAGCTTTCCGATCTACCACCTGCAGCCCAATCTGCTGTCCAATGCAGCCTCCTGGTCTTTAGCTGATTGTATCACCAAGTGGAATTCCAAGAACCTCATATTCTTATCCAATTCCTGTGCTTGTCGTCCACCTCCCTCAATCCCCCTTTGAGAGAGTCCCTTCCTTAACAGATGAAGAAGTACTGGTGTTTTGTCTTCACAAACTTGATGTTTTTCCCCAAAATATTGGTTGCCAGATCACAAGAATAAGATTGGTAAATTCTCCAGTTGGTTGTGTTCTTGGATCTTTTCACAATGATATGAAAGTGTTCTAATATGACAGTACAATGAAGCAACATCCTATTTTCGTTCACGGCCTTTGTATTTATAGTTTGGGGCAATTTGGAGTTCTAGGCCGTGTCAAACTTTCCAAAAATCAAAAATACGATTTTCCATATAACATTGTTGCTCGAGCGAAAAGCGAGTGGAGAGCGAGCAACAGTACTTCGCTCGAGCGAAGTCCGGGCAAAGAGCGAGCGACGTCCATTCTGCTTCTTTTCGCTCGAGCGATGGCAGAGAACAGCTAACGAACCTCCGACGCCATGTTCTTGATTTTAACCTAACACTCAAACCCTAGTCCCTACCACACAACTTTGCTAAATTGTACCCTAAATCCTTGAATTTTATAACATTGTACAATTGAGTCCCTGACTTTTACAAATTTACAATTTAGTCCTTTTGTCTATAGAATCGCCAATTACACCTTTAGACCTAACAATATAGAATCCATTTAATTGACCATTTGTAGGCAGAATAAGTCATCTCATCTCCTTGGTATACTATTTACATCCGAATGTGAACTTCTGCTAAAGTGAGAGCAACTAATACACACATCAATCCTGAAGCAGTGTAAGTCACACTACGTGCCATTACAAACTGGGGGCATCCAGTTACTACCATCATCCAATATTTATTTACCACTAGTCTCAATTTGTCAACTGGAAATTTTGACCCGACCACTTCTTCTTCATCTAAATCTATTTTGAGCATTTCTTGGTACTCTAATTCTGTATAACTTATGGTAGTTAGAGCGGTCAAAGCAGAAGAACCAAACATAGCAAGTGAAGTAAAGATAAAACCCGTTGCCACAATTTCTTCGCCAGTACCATCAATATAAACATAATGACTCATGTGAATATGGTGGATACAAACATTAGCATTTCATTATCGTCCATAGATCCCAAAGATGTTATAAAATTTGACATCGCAGTTGACATGAAAACAAGGCTACTAACCCGTGCAATGATTTCATGAAGCCCCAACATATTAGTAGTAAGATCCACTGGTAGTTTCAATGAGACAGCTAATAGTGTCAAAGACATGGCATTGAAAGATAAGAACTTACATGGGAACCATAGCCTTTTACTTTGAAAACCATGGAAGGCATCAGCTGCCATTGCAAGGGAGCAGAGTACAGAAGCTGCTGCAATATACATGCCAATCCATGGCATTGGGGTCTCCAATTTGTTTTGTATATAATCGATTTCATCATAAACGTAGTCACAGGCATCCCTGCATTCATTCAATCTGTTACATAGCGCGCTGCATTGAATTGAATCCATTAACTTGTCTCCGAAATTCATTCTATTTCTCTCCCAAAAACTTTTAATCTTGTGATTCACAAACATACCAATCAATCTGTCCTAGTCATTCACATCGAATGGTGCATAAGGAAATATAAGTCTTGTTTCTCTCCTAATTTCAACCACATATTCTTCTATAAAATAATATTACATATAAACCAAAAAATTTTCCTTTTATTTCAACAATTCATTTTAAAAAAAATACTATTCTACCAATTTTCATTTTTACAAAATGGGGGTCGAGACTGAATCAGGACATAAAGTTTCACGTGTCTGTTTTTTCCTCTGTCCATTCTATTTCTCGGCTTTTGCTTTTTAACTTTAGCCCCTATGTGTTGCCCACTTTCCACTCCCATTTTAGACAAAATAGTGCCGTTACCTGTCCATTCCACTGACAGATTTTTACACTCCAGTTCCTTTACTATCAGTAAAAATTATGAGAGGTGGAAAACTCGTCAATTTCAAATGGGTGTCAGCATGTGGGACCCTATGTTGGTAGAAAGAACGCATTTTTTTTTGGGTAAAAAGGGAAAAAACACTGGGGCTTAATGTCTGTTTTTTTTCACGTCTGGTTTTTTCTCTGTCCTTTCTATTTGTTGGAATCTATTTCCACCAACCCAATAGAGACTTGGTATTCCTAATGCGTACGGTTTTTGGTGTGGAAAATTGACCCATTTATAGTTTTCTACCATGCTTTTTGCGGGACTAATTTGTCCATTCCTCATACTTATTGGGACCATCCACAATGAAGCCAATTATGGTTTATTTTTATAAATTTAATATTTAATTTTAGAAAGATACATTTTGTAACTTCTTAATTTTCGTGAGATAAACTTTAAAGCAATTTTTAATATACAAATTTTGAATATCTTGATCAAACTTTTTTTAAAGTTTTTGTTTAGCTTTCTTAAAGCCTTACAATTTTCTTCTAAGAACGTTTGTCATGGTTCTCAAAAGAATAATATGATCTTGCATTACTATTGCTATAAAATTGATCTAGCTGATATTATGTGATAAATTCAATTAAAATTTAAAATGATGTGAGAAAATCATTAAACTTTCATTGAGATCTCAATTAAGTCACTATACTTTAATTTATCTCAATGAGATCATCAAACTTCAATTTACTTGAAATTTTAGTCGTTCTAATGTCTTCTTACTAAACTTAAAATTTCAATCCTTCGTGAACATTAACTTAGCGTGTCTTACAAGTCTTACAACTATTGTCACTTAATCTATAGTTGTGGCTATAAAATTGAAAATAAATCGTGTTCTTCCAAATTATATTCAAATGGCAAATACTTTCGGATTTTGCAATCATGACTTGATTAGGCTGTATATTACCTAAAAATGGAAGAAACATCGAATTGCTATCAATATTTAATGTCCACATGATATGTGATTGCACCAAATTAAAGTTGGGTGGACCAATTAAGCAGACAATGTGATATTGAAGAAAACAATGAAAGAAACTCGAGTGTTCTTGAACCATCCGAGAAGAGATGTGATGCAGATGAAAACAAAGAAAAACTGAGAGAACAATGTAAAATTTTATTTCACAAACACCATGGATGTTGGAATTTAATGGTTTAATAAATGTGATTTAATTATCTTAATATGTGTGAATTGAATGAAGTCTCCATTGAATGAGATGACTAGATGAGATTTTTCAAATACAATAAGTGCATATCTAAGAGTCATGATTTTTTGAATCAATCTGCTTGTACATCATTTTTTCAAAAAAATTGTGCCACATGGCAACATACCATTGGACAATTTAAAAAAATAAATTTTTTTTCAAATCAAATCTTGCCAACAAGGATGATGTACAATTATGATGTATAAGTGGCTTTATCCTTTTCGAATGGTGTATGACTAATCAAATGCAAGAGGTGCATAATAAAAGTCACATTTGTGTAGGATGCAATCTAGACCATCATGGTATTATCTAATGATCCAAATGAGTTTGTACCCAAAAATTTTCCAACATACATGTATTTTATTTCCTTAAAAATAAATCACATCTAATGATGCATAAGGAATCTTGTTGAGTCACTCCATTTAAAATATTTTTTTTGAATGTAGACAGCTTTTTACATCGTCTTCTTCTTCTTCTTCTTTTTCCTCTCTCTCTTCGCGAATGTCATTTTTACTTATTGAATTTTGAGTTTTAATGTTTATTGAAAAAAAAAATTCAGGATCTGTTTCCACCAATTCAATAAGTTAGAGACCTTCGCTTCAATTTTCCTTGCAATGTTATGACAAGTTGACTCGGCACATGGTCTTGGTTGGGTGTTGAAATTGAGCTCTCTCTAGTTTTCCACCGTGCTATTTAATGGACTAATTTTTCCATTCCTCATCAATTATCAGGACCATCCACAATCAAGCCAACGCTACCAATAACATATATCATTTTGAGAAAAAATTAATTTTAATAATTATAATATTTAATTTTAGAAAAAAGTTATTTAACATTAATTGTAACCACTTCTTAATTGTCGTAACATAAATTTTAAATTAGTCTTTAATATAAAATTTTTGAATATTTTGATCAAAAGATTTTGTTAAGCTTTCTTGAAGTCTTTCAATTGTTCTAAATTTGTTTTTTGTGGTTCTCAAAAAGTTCTAAACAGTTGAGTCCTCAAAGGGCAGTCCAAGTCTTCTAACAGTTTAGGAAATGATAATTTCATTATTGTAACTAAGCTTTCAAAGATATCTCAATCAAACCACTCAACTTTAATTCGTCTAACTCAGATCGCCAAACATAATTTACTTGAAATTTTAGACATTCCATTAGTCCTCTTACGAGATTTTACATTCCAATCTTGTGTGAATGTGTTAATTTGACGTGTCTTACAACTAGATAAATATGCCATTTAATCTAGTCGTGGTTGCAAAATTGAAAATAAATCGTCATCTTCCAATCCTATTCAAGTGGCATATACTTTCAAATTTTGCAACCACGACTTGATTAGGCAGTGTATTTCTAGGTAATGAAAGATACCATCTCATCACCATCAATATTTAATCTCTACGTGAGATTTGATTGCACCTCTATTAAGATTTCAAAAATAAGATTAACTGACTCAAGAAGACCAAGAAATTAACAATAAGTCTTCTTGAACCATCCTAGAAATGTGATACAGAAGAAAACATAGAAAAACTGAGAGAACAAGAGACAGGTCTTCCCTAGTGCAAAATTTTTCTTTTGCAGACTCCAGGATGTTTGAAATTAGTGATTTAATAATGTGAATTGGAATAAGCCCCCGTTTGTCAACCTTAAAAAATTTAAATTGTATGCTACAATATCATTCTCTACCACACATTTATACAATAAAATATTCTCCACACAAACTAATAAAATTTCATTACTTTATAACTATACGTTCTCCAAAACTATTATTCAAAACTCTTTAATTTTTAAAATAAAGGGAGACAAACCGGCTCTAAGTTTATATTTGGTGCGATGATTAGGCACAAGTTTTCAAATGCAACAGGTGCATATTGACGAGTCATGATTTTTCTGATTGGGTGTGACCATTCAAGTAAATGAGGTGCCTAATGAGAAGTTATAAACCTTTTTGTGTATGGTGCGAATTAGACCATACATCATGGTGTGATCTAATGATCCAAATGAATTAGTACCAAAAAATGAAGTCATTCCGAACGGACACATTAAAATGAATTGAACCCTCTTGATGTCATTTTCTTCCGTCCAAATTAATTTCAAAATAATTTATTTCTAAATTCTTCCTCTACCTCCCAATTCGTAGAACAAAATTTATATTGTATTGTATTAATTTTGAAAGATGTGTTGTATCTTAGGATACAAACGTCCGTTTGATCCTATTAGCACTTGTGCAGGGACCAAATATGTCTTAAGATTTGCATTTAACTTACCTCACTTCATTTCATCTCTTTACAAATTCCTTTTTTTTTTTCCCTACATTTTTAATAAATTAAAATTATGTCCAATTTCATTTTGCAAAATAATTGAATCCACATTTTAGTGTCCGAAAAAAAAATTGCACCATATTTTTCCAACAATGTGTATAGACAATTTCAGCCCTACTATAATTTAATTATTTTAATAATACCTTACTTTTCATTTTTCAATATATATTAAATTTATTCAACCGTTTAGTTACCATCAATATACATGTACATTTGATAGATTCATTTTACCCGTATACTTTTATTAATGTATGGATTCCGTACTATTAATTCTCAAATAATTAACTTCACATTGATTTAATTAATATTCATTTTCATTTATGCATTTCAGTGTTATTAATTCTAATAGTAAGTTAAGTAGAATTTTACATTTACAAATGCATTTCATTATTCACGTCCATGTATGCTAATTATTATCCAGTTTTATTTAAATGGAACATGTTTGAGCTCCATTTTATTTTATTTTATTGGAAATAATGCATTTTTGAATAGTATTTTGATGGAGAATTTGTGGCTAAGAAATAAAAAAAGTTTTATGTTTGCGTGCAATATTATTTTATTGAAGAGTGTGTGGTTGAAAATAAGAGAGGGAAAATGTATTTTGAAAATAATTGAACCGAACAAGGGCGAGAAATCAAATAAATAATTTTACATTCATTGTCATGTATATATTCCTAGTATTATGTCTAAATTATTTAACATTCACGCATATTCAAATATTACTTTTACAGTATTTTATATTAACATGCAATGGACTTTCAGTGTTGACTAGTTAACTAAAAACAAAAGATACATCAAACTGCCATCAATATTTAATGTCTATGAGAGATGTGATTGCACCAAATTAAAGTTGGATGGAACAGTTAAGATTTCAAATATAAAATAATCCTACTCAAGAAGACAGAGAAAGAAACTCTTAAATTTCCCTGAACCATCCGATATACGTGATGCAGAAGAAAAAATGAAAATTTGAGGCAACTGGAGATAAGTCTTCCCCAAAGTAGAATTTTCCTTACAGTTGGAATTAATGGTTTAATGATCTTAATACATGTGAATTGGATTAAGTTTCTATTGGGTGTGATTACTAGATACAACTTTTTAAATGCAACACGTGCATATTGAAGAGTTGTGTTTGTTATGATTAGGTATGACTATTC